CCATGCGTAAACTGTCATGTAAGGTGGCATGTAGTCTTTACTCTGTCCCGTTGTTTGCGTATACCCTGAAACGCGATGTGTATGGCTTCCTTCTCCCTGTGTGCTACCCAGAAACAATTTATAGCAAACTGAACGTTGTCTTTAACATCATATCCTTTACCTTTTTTCATTGCTGACCAATCCCAAAATCTATGCTTATGCAACCTGCTTGAGATGTACTTAAATCTATGTAGTGACTGTGCGCAGGTAAGTTTTCAACCTGAAATCGTTTTACTTCCACCTGTTTCCTTTGAAGAGTTTGCACAATACAAAAACCTGTCGACTATTTGAGTCCAAGTTCCGAGACCAAGTACTACTTCTGGTTTGGTAGTAGTTCATTGACGTGTAAATAGAAACCTATAGGATATAGTGTTTGAAGTATTTCTGTCTTTAACGTTTGAAGCTCTGTTTTGTCAGCTTTTTTATCTAACTCATCGTTAACATATGTTTTGTCAGCTTTTTTATCTAACTCATCGTTAACATATGTTTTGTCAGCTTTTTTATCATATAAATCTTGAGCAGTGAATTTAACTTTGTTTTCATCCTCCATGACATAGACATTTCTACATCTAGTGTATTTCATCGTCGTTATGTCATCCTCCGATGTTTAAACTTGTGGAAAGTTAGGAGGTTTCCAATTTAATACATCCCCAGTTTCTTCAACCGTTCCTTCAATATTTTCTATACCAACAGTTGCGAAGAAATCGTGTGTATGTCCAACGTCACTTTTCCTGTTTAAGGTTTCTTGTAAGTTTGTTATATTTGCAATGGTATGTGTATGTCCAACGTCACTTTTCCTGTTTAAGGTTTCTTGTAAGTTTGTTATATTTGCAATGGTATGTGTATGAGTCTTTTTAGAATATTCGTTTTCAGCTCTTGTCACTTCACTTGACATTTTATTGTCAACATATGTTTTGTCTGCTAGTTCAGGATGAGTATGTTCTTTCGTTGCATATGTTGCATCTGCTCTGTCATGTTCTTCTTGAACTTTTTCAATGACATACTCTTTGTCAACTTTCTTTTCAACATCTGCTTTTGTTGCATATGTTGCATCTGCTCTGTCATGTTCTTCTTGAACTTTTTCAATGACATACTCTTTGTCAGCTTTGTTGTCAATATCTGCTTTCAAAAGAAGTTCATCTATAGGTTTCTCGTTTAAAGTTCTTTTTGTTGGATTTATACAAACAGTATGGTTCTTACTGTCTTGAAACAGAAACTCGTCTGTCATTGGGTTTATCGTCAGTTTTAAGTTTCCTTCTTTCAATGACTCAGATATCTTAGAATAGTTTGAAAAGTTTGTTGTGTTCTTATTTAGAGCTTGCAAAATGAGTTGTCGGTTGTGTTGTATTTCTCTCATAGACGCTGTTTCTTTCGACATTTTTATTCTAGATAAAATATGCTTTCAATAGAAAAAGAAAATTCAAGAGTTGCTACAACTAAACCATTAGATGAACTTTTTACTAATGTCGGTCAAAAGTTTGAGACAGAGACCGTAAAGCATGAAGGCTATCGTTTTGACTACCCATTGAGATGGTTAAGAGACCCATCCGTCACAAAAGCTATTGGCTTTCGTAGAATGAAGTTCATTTCAGAAGCCATACATGGTTTCCCATTTACGGTCGCTTTTGAAGTTCGATACTATAACAAAGAAAAACGTACGTATGAGAAATTTGAACAGGGAAAACTTTTACAAGTTAGTTTGCTTGTAAAACTTAGAAACAACTCTTCAAGCTTTTCAAGAAAAAATAAACGATATCTATCTCGAATATGCAAAACAGTACAACATTGACGAAGGAGAGTACCATCTCGATATTATATATGACAGGAAAAATGCAACTGTTAAAATCAATAGAATAGAAGACCTTGGAGAAGACGTTTATATTTCTACAAAATATAACAACTTGGCATGGTATAGATTTTTGAGGATGTTAAATCAGCCTGCAGAATATCCAGTACACCCGAACTTTTATGAAGTCGAAAACCCTAATGGAACATATGAAAATGTTTTTCGACTCAGATGCTATTATAGTTCATGCTTCATTTTCTGGTGCACAAAACTCTTTTTTATGCTTGGCAAATGACTTTTACGAAAAACCTACAAAGCTATACGAAACCACCAAGTGGAAGTATTTCAGACTTTCAAGTATGGTTTACTACAGATGGAAGAAAGAGAATAATTCCATTATACCACGCGTTTTACTTAGAAACTTAGTTTCATATACAACTACTATCGAACGGTAAAATATGATTTTTTAATACGGTTGAGGTGTTGGATTTGGTTGCCAACTAGACTGTGGTGCAGGTTCAGGCTGTTGTATAACAGGAGCTTGCTCTTCTGGTTCAGGGTCTTTAGGTATATACCAACAAACTGACCTACTCTTTTACCAATATTTTTGACTCCGTTCCAAATTCCTCTTCCGACAGATTTTATTCCATTCCATATACCTCTTCCAACATTTCGAAAGAAGTTTCCTATCTTACTGAAGAAACCCATTTTACTATATGTAAAAATCTAATGTCCGCCTAGTCTCTTACGTTTCCTGTTGAGTTCCATAGCATTCTTTAACTGGAGCTCATACATTCTGTTTCTCCTCTGGTAGAAAACATATTCTGGGTCAACTCCTGTGTTCGCGTCATCTGCATAAAGTTGTTTATATCCCACTTCAGGGTTTGTATAAAACTCTTTCCATCTCATATTTGCATACCATGGTGGTAAGCCTAACGCAGCGTCATTTGACATGGCAGTTTGCATTTGTACATCTGTTGGCACTTGACCATAGTTTGCCATTGCAGTTTGTATTCTAACTTCATTTGGAATATTCTCTGGGTTTGGTTGTCCAGGTTGCTGTGCATTCGCTAAGTTCTGTGCGTCCATTTAATATTAGATAAAAATATCTCTTACGAGTACATATACTGGACATTTGCAGGCATTGGTTCATCTTCATATTCTCTATATCTTTCTGCCACGTCAAATAAGTAAATGACACAATGGAAAAAACCTAAAACAAGTAGTCCTATTTCAAACCACATTTACTTACCAATAAAATTTCTTTGTTATGACTTCTTCGTAAAGACTTTGTTGAGATTTCTTCGTAAAGACTTTGTTGAGATTTCTTCGTAAAGACTTTGTTGAGATTTCTTCGTAAAATGACCCAAAAATATATTTTAGGTGAAGAGGTGAGATTTCACCTCATTTCTCACCTCATTTCTCACCTCTTGAATTTTCATGAATTTCTTCGTAAAGACTTTGTTAAGACTTCTTCGTAAAGACTTTGTTAAGACTTCTTCGTAAATGACCCTAGTAGTATATTTTTGGTGTAAAATTCATGAAAATTCAACGGGTGAAAAATTAGGTGAAAAAACAGGTGAAATCTCACCTCTTCACCTAAACATTATTTTTGGTGTAAATTTCATGAAAATTCACGAGGTGAAAAAAGAGGTGAAAAAACAGGTGAAATCTCACCTCTTCACCTAAACATTATTTTTGGTGTAAATTTCATGAAAATTCACGAGGTGAAAAAAGAGGTGAAAAAACAGGTGAAATCTCACCTCTTCACCTAAAACAAGTAGTCCGATTTCAAACCACATTTACTTACTAATAAAATTTCTTTATTGTGACACTTTCTCCAGTTTATAGGACCTCTCTCATATTCTATCTTGTCATATATAAACTCATAGTCATGTATGTCCTCTAACCATCTCATGACACTTTCCAAACCACTTTTATCGGATGTAAAGTAAAAGCATGGATGGTTATGTAAAACGTCTAAAGTTTCTAAAGAGTCTCTCAAAGTCCAGTCTACTTGGTATTGAAAATCCCATGTGTATATAGAACGGCGGGTCCACTATAAAGAAAACATTTTCCTTGTCTTTATATTTTTCATACAACTCTGTCCAATGACATCTCACAAACTCTATACCCTCAATATATTTTTCTATGTCCTCTTTGAAAACATTTGTATAGTTAAGATATAAAACTTTTGACATAAGTGTTTCAATGTCATGAACTCTTATAGAACCACTATATATATAGTCTCAAGCAGATATACTATCCCAGTCAATATATTCTGCTTTTTTCAAAACCTCTCTCACAATATTTTTCTTATCTAATGGTATACGTTCCATCTTGCCTATAGGTATCTTTTCTTTTAACTCTTTCAATATATTGTTTGTGTCTGGAATATGTTTGAGACGGTCCATATAGTTGTCGAAGTCATTGCATATAATCTTTGAGTCTGGGAATATTATATGACATAGATGGGATATATAGAAACTTCCACCGAACAAATCTACAAATGTTAGACCATTCGGTAGTTTCTTAAGTTCTCTCAATATAATATCTTTACATCTACTCTTATTTCCAAAGAAGGGTAGTGGTGGTTTTGTAAAATTCATTTATATATAATAATAAAAATGTTTTTACCTGAAAAGTGACAGAAAAGTGACAAAGCATGAAAACATATATAATTTGTGAAAAGTGAAACATTATATAATGTTTTCGACCAAGAAGACTAACAATTTTCCGAATAAAAACTTCATTTATACTAAACATCTTCAGGGCGTAACGCGCCTGGAAGCCCTCCGAATATATACTTCATTTATACTAAACATCTTCAGGGCTAGAAGGCACGAAGTGCCTGGAAGCCCCACTACCTTTTTTTTTTTTTTTTTTTTTTTTTTTTTTTTTTTAAACTGAGTTTTAAAGTCTATATATTGTAATTTGATTTCAAATTCATTATATTATGTATCATTGAATCGAGAAGATCATTTTGTGACAGTGCGTATGAAATGATTTAAGAAACATAAATGAAAACTGTCAAAAAGTAATTCAATTTTTAGAAATGTGGTTTTTATGTCTTAAATCTACAACTCTGATACAAGAAAAGAAAACTTGTTGGCTTAAGATCTAAAATGGTTCGTTATATATTAAGCTATAAAAAAAATCATGTAAAATATTTATTTTAAAGAAGGAGGCAGTTCGTGTCCTTCTTCTTTGCGTCCTTTGGTTCTACTTGTGGGTGGATGATAAGGCGACCAGCTTCAGCAAAGATTTCATTAAGGCCATCCTTTGTACGAGCAGAGCATTCCATATACTTGGAAGCGCCGATCTTTTGGGCAACCTTTTGTCCCTCTTCGGCTGTAACTGGTTTAGCTGTTGGGTCAACAGCTGGATCAAAATTATCACGAAGGTCCTTCTTAAGGCCAACAAGGATCTTCTTAGCCTTTGGAGTGCCTGTTGTGATTTCATTAATCCAGACATTCTCAACGTTTTCGAGAGAAACTGGATTTACAAGTGAGAAGCAAACAAGGAAAACGTCTGTATCTGGATAAGACATTGGGCGGATCTTTTCATAATCTTCTTGACCTGCTGTATCCCAAAGCTGAAGATTTACGTTTTGACCATCAATGGAAATTGATTGAGAGTAGTTATCGAAAATTGTTGGAACATATTCTTCTGGGAAATTGCCTGTTGTATAGCATGTAAGCATGCATGTTTTGCCGACAGCACCATCACCAACAGCTACAATCTTGATATGCTTCATGAAATGACACTTTTCAACTTTCTCAGGTTAAGATTATAATGTTAATTGCCTCGTATAATATATTTCTTTTAATTTTAAATTTTTACGATTTCAATTGTCGAACATGCGTGAAGTGAAAATTGAATTTGAGAGTAAAGGATCAAATGCCAAAGGTCAGATAAAATCATAACATCTAATAAATATCTTTTCTTGATTGACTTTTGATATTTCGATATTTTAACGATGGATTAGCCCTTTTTACATCGGTAGGTCTCAAATCGCGGTACATCGAACTCAGTAATCAAGCTTTAGGTATTATATTATGTCCATATAGTGCCTGTTGGTTCCGAAGAGATGATCCTCCCATAAAAGTGAGGATGTATTTGGCTAAATATCAAATGCATCAATTTTGGATGTTTTTAAATAATTAACTATAAATAGTTCGATGCATGGCTCTATACGCTAGTTTTTCAAAGCAGCAAACCTAATTTTATTTTTTTATAACCAAATTAATTATGCTATTATGTAAAATCTGGATACTTATTTAAACCATATGCATTAAAACATAATTTTGTTATAATTCCCATGGATAAGATTGAATAACAGTTAATCAGCATAAATTCATAGTGTTATATGGATAACTCAGTTCAATGAATAATTAGCTTTAGATTGAATAAATATAGTCGCCAAAAAAAGTGCGGAAATTAAAAACTGCAGTTTGAGTACTTTCTGAGAGTCTGTTTGTCAGAAAGTATGCATTTGTAAACTTTCTGACACTAAAATTTTTTTGGTCCTTTCAAAGTTTTTGACAAAGTCAAAAAGTATACATCGGGGCTCTCAATTTTCCTCTCAAACGGCGGTTTTTTAAAAACGCTCATTTTTTCATCGACCTTAACCCCAATTTTGTAATTAATGTCACTTTTTGAAAAATGGAAATTTTTACATTCGCCAAATCATTTCATTTTAAGATTCCTCCTTCATATTATCTTAGATGAATTGTTCCATTAGAAGCAATAGTAATATACATGAATAAAAGCATATGTTAACATTGCATAATAAACTTTCAACATAAGGAATTCCTTCATCTAAAATCCCTAATTTTTTTTTGAAGACGTTAGTAAAATTTTTTTCAATCATCATGTATCAAGATGATGATGAAGAAAATTTTGTTCCTAAGATAGATTTCAGTGATCTTCACATATATCAGAAAAGAATTCCTCACACAGCCCGTGAAAGAGAAGCTATGAAACACATGGGAGATTCGAAAAGAACAGAAGAAGAAATAGAGCATGATTTAAAACTAGAAAGCTTATGTAGGAGATATGTTCCTCCAAAAGAGGACATTCAACATTTCTTTTTAACGAGAACAGCGATTACAGAAAAACAAAATGCCACAATGAACGAATCTGTTGACACATATATCGATCAGTTAAAGAAAACATTACCTCCTCTTCAGCAAAGAATTTCACCGAGATTTATGGAAATGAATGAATTACCATTAGGTTTTACAACAAATGCTAAGAGTTGTAAGAAGAGTATTGCGCGTGTTTTCGATAGATCTGGATATTACGATTCAAAACAGAAAAAATTGAGTGCAAATTTGCCTGATATTTATATAACACAGCAATTCAAAGAATTTGTTTTGCGTGGTGATGAAAGAGTGCCACAAGTATTACTAGAATCGAAAATCTCGCTCCCACCTGGAGTTGGAAAATCTCCTCGACATAGAAGGAAACAGAAGAGAGGAATTCCTTCTGGTGTTCCAATGTAAATTGTTATTATGTTTGCTTTTGTTTATTAAAATTTGTTTTATACATGAAAATTAAAATTTCTTTAAAACTCATTTTGATGGTTTAAGTCTGCATTACTTACACTCTCCCAGAAAATTAAGATGTCTAAAGCAAAAGAAAACGAATTTGAGTCGGAAATTATGAAAAAGTATTAAAATTATATCAAAAAACATTATATATGTGGATATATCGAGAAAAAATGTATAATTTTCATATAAATGAATTTATTTTTTAACAAATAATACAAATAAAAAAAATTATTGTCTTTCGAGGTCCATCAAGTATTGGAGAGCCATACGAATATCATTGTTATTCGCATACAAAGCAAAAATATTGTCATCAAGGTTCAAAAAGCCTCTGCTGTATAATAATTGGGCATTTCCTAAATAATTTGATTTCTGGTACGGTGGAAGTGAATTTACAATCCTTCGGCGCTTTTCTGCTTCACAATTTCTGAAGAGTTTTCTTGAATCATTCATTACAAAACCGCGTGATTGTAAAACTCTTATTCCTCTACGTATTTTATCTAATCCAGATGTAAACTCTGGTAGCTCGTTAATTCTTGGTGGAGCAGGTTGTTGTTGTGGCTGCATCATGAAAAAGTTTGGCTGAGGGGCAGGAGATTCAGGAAGTGGGGATTCGGCAGGTGCTGAGAGATTGTTATCAGGAATAACCATCTTGATGTTGTTCGCTCCATATAAGTTGTCAAGAGCATCAGATGTATCGAATGAGTTCATGTATCTGTTAATTGTATGTAGCATACCTGGATCTGCTGCGCTTGCCATGTTAAGCATATTGTCCATTGTTTTCGCTGCTTGTCTTTTATTACCTTTTGAAAATAAATCAAGAACTTCAGAAAATGTTTCGCCATCATTAAATGCGTAATTCATATCTACGTTGTTAGTATCCTCTTTAAATCCTGAAATACCTTTAAGAGCACTGGCTGCCATATCAGGGTTTTCTTTGAAAGTTTTCATCATTCCTTGGATTAAAGGGTTATCTGTAATTCCGTCAAATATTGATGGCATTTCCTCTTCTTTCTTTTTAGCTGGTAATGGTTTTTCAATTTTTGGCTTTAGAGTGTAAAATATCTTTGTTCCGTCTGTTACTCCATATGAATCGATTGTACGTTCGTTAATAAGTAATTTTCCTTGATATACAAAATTAATTCTGTCTGGTTCAACATCAATTTCTTGAGCTAAAACATTTTTGCACTCAGCAACGGAATTTAGCTTTTTAACGTAAATTGTGTGATTTTCTCCCTTCACGTACTCGCAATTTATTAGCATTTGGTGTAAAAATTTTAGTTTGGACTTCTAAAAGTGACAAAATTGATTCTCCGATTTCATTGTTGGAAAAATATTTTTACTTAATCAGCGATGTCTGGTCATCTTATTTATCTCTTTTTCACTTATTTTTGCCTAAAAGAAACATTGATTAACAGACCAACTAAGCAACACTCGGAATCTGTTTAGCCTTTGTGATGAAAATATATTTTCTATAAGATGTTGAAGCAGTGATTTAAGAAATGCTTCCTGATTTCATCGTATTTCATTAATATTTCATTATATTTCATATTTCATTATTTATTTAATGTTGTATTGCAATACCATACGATACAATTGAGCAGATAAGATATTCGAAATTTAACCCCTTGAACGTGAAAAGAAGTAATAAGGCATGTATGTATTGTGTATACATGAATTTGATATGGTTATAAAGTATATAAGAATAAATCAAGAGATATACATTGTTATATTAACTTTAGCATACTTTTGTATAAAAATTCGACATGATATTACCCCAAATCAATAAGTATAGAATTTGATTTATAAATAAATTGAATTCACTTATCATACATATTGCATATCACATTATGTCCCAGCATAAATTTGAATTTTCAAGATTTGAGAAATTCCGAAAAATAATAAAATAATATGAAAATATATAAAATTAATAGAAAAAAATAGGTATTTTTAAAATTTTGGAATTATAAAGCATCTTTAAATTGATATAGATATTAAATACATGCGTTGATGAATCACTTTATATCATATATTCAAAATTAATTATTTCAATTATTTGTAACATCAATGAATCATATTGATGTTGTTTTCTGGCAGCTAGATTAAACATATTACAACAGTTCAATCCTATAAATCATATAAAAAAATGTATCAAATTTTGCGATATGAATTTTTACAAACAAACATATAATTAAAATATATAAAAACAACGACAATGAATAATTAATATGAAATTATTCCTCATTTTGACCAAATACTTTGTTCATGAAGATTTCAAATCTTTCTATCAACTCATCACTACAATCATCATAATATTCATTGAGCCATTCATAAACTCCATATCTATTTATAAGATCCATATAATTTTCGAGAAGATTAGCAACAATAGACCTTGAATAAAGTAATTCATAAGATTTGAAGATATTTTCTGCAATCTTTTCGTTATCAACTGAAGATGCGTTTTGAAGAATCGTAAATACTTCATCTGTTAACAAATAATATATCATTTCGGGTTCAAGTGGAGTAATTATGATGGCTAATAATACTTTAAGTGCACTCTTTAATGTAACAAAATTAAATCTTGAAGAATATTCACACAAAAATTGAATTCCGTTCTGATCTAAGAATGATTGTAGATTATTATCATTAACATCATTTTGTATCATTTTATTAATGATTTTAAGGCAAATAGCCCCAATTTTATCATTGAAGTGAATTGAGCACATTTCCATCAATTCTGCAATATCATTTGAAAATATGATTGAATCATATGGGATAAATGGTATAGTTGCATATAAAAACAATTCAATATATTCAAAATTTTCTTCAACAGAAGCTGTTGTAATTAAATCTGTATATTCTACATTAGAAAATAATGTAAAATTAAACTGGTCGGTTTTGTAAAGGGAATAAATGCCTCTCATGCATTCAGATTTGATTGGATCTGGACAAAATGGAGAAAATCCAATTTTGAACGTTTCACTTGCTACTTGAATGATATCATCAGTGGTTTTCTGGGTTACAGCAAAATTAAATATATCAACTAATTGAGCAGTGATAATTTCACGGATTTGATACGATTTTGATGCAGAATCACTTTTCTTATCAATTACTATAGATTTTAGCCTCTGAATAGTCATTAAATTCATAAATGGCTCGAAAAAATGTCGATCATAATAAATAAGAACTTCATATATAGATAATGCATAGCAAAGAGCTTTTGTTGGAGAAAATCCGAAGTATCTTTCAAGGATTTCAAAGTATCCCATTTCTATAAAACAATCTAAACAGAATTCAACTTGATCAATCAGATAATGAATAATACTTAATATTCTTGGCGTAATTGATGTTATATCTGTATTTAACGCATTTTCAACTAATGTTTTCAATACAATGCATGCATCTTGAAAATTATTTGGTCTTTTTGTTTTTAAATATGAACCAAAGTTTGTAACAGCATCATAGAAAGCTTGTGTTGTTGGTGTTTGTGATCTATCGATTACATTTTTTACAAGAAAAAATTCATTCATATCAGATGATGGAGCATCTTCTTCGTCTATAAATTCTTCAGTAAGTAAATCTGATTTTGCTATTCGAAATCGATTTCTACTATCAATTGTATCATTTTCATCCTTATAATCCATTTTTGGTAAAATTTTAGGGGGGAATAGATTTACCCCCTTTTATAATTGATTTTATTTTTAATTCCTAAAAAGGATGAAAAATACAATATAAATATGCCATATCTTATAAAATTTTTGTTTAGATTTCATTCATTTTCATAAAGATGGATAATCAAGAAATGTCTGAAGAAGAATTACGTCAACAAATAGATAATGTCAAAGAATCAATCGAAAAAATAAAACGAGAAAGCAAAGAAAACGAAAGAGAACTTGTAGAACAAACACAAATCCTTGAAGATGAGAAAAAAGAACTTATAGAAGGAATTAAGGCTAGAATGCAACTTATTGATATGCTTAAAAGAGATATTTATCGCGTTGCTTATGAACAATCCCTTAAAGTTACAGATATTGAACATTCAAAACCAACTACTGCATAAAAACATCGAATAACCAAAGTGATACTCTTTACACTTAATAAGATGTTTATTTTCCTTAAATTTTACCGGAATTATTGATAATTTTCAAAAATTATTTCAATTTGATTTCGAATTTTAGTTCATATTCATGTATTAGTTGCTTTGTTTGATAATACGTAAAATTGTATTGATTATTTTGTATTTACCAAAAAATAAAACTAAAATAAAAAATTCTATAGTTTATTAATAAATAAAAATGCTCTAAATAATATATTAATTCTTGAAAATGGCAAAGTCACCACATGTTATGCGTGTATCGACCTTCCAAGTGAGAATTGTATTGATATCTTTGTTCTCATCGATATTTCCGAATATAACATTACCTTCAGCGGTTAAGACAGTAATATAACCACCTTCTGCCTTCATATACTTGATTCTTTTATCAGTAATGTTATATACGCCATAAAACTTGTTGTCAAGCAAGTTATAGCCGTAAATCGTTCCATCTACGCATCCTATCCAGAGATCATCTCCATCAACGCAGATTGTCATGATATTTGACTCTGTCTTGTATTCAGCTTCTGTATTTTCTGTAATACCATTGATAACGATGGCACTGCGACCAACGACAATGATAAACTTTTCATCTGTATTTGCAAATCTGATAATTGAAGGAATCATCGGTAATTTTCTTGTTCTAGCGTTGTGGGCTCTCATTAAGTCCCACATACGGACAGCTGCATCACGGCCAACAGAAAGCATGAACTTTCCGCATGATGCAGTCGCAAGACTGTTGACAGAAGCTGTATGACCTTTGAATTGCTTAACTAAAGCCCAATCTTTAGTTCTCCAAAGGCAGATAGTTTTATCTGCTGAGCCTGTTGCGATGTATGAATTCTCGTAAAAATCAATATCATCGACTGAATCTTCGTGCTGAATTAAGGAACCAACTTTTTTATTGTTAACAATATCAAAAAGAGCAACAGATCCATCATATCCACCACTTGCAAGTATTTTTCCAGATGATTTAAGTGAACGGATAGATCCATCGTGTGGACTTGTGCGGAAAGAGATTTTTGCGGCATATTCATCATTGCCATTTGCTGTTGTACGTGTAATTCTCCATGAACTGAGAAGTCCTTCGTAGGATCCTACAGAAATTACTCCAATTAGCTGCTCCTCAGACATTTTTTAGAGGAAGCAAGAAAACTGCCAAAAGACACCAAAAAAGAATATCTTTAAATTTGTTGTATTTAAAATGCACATACAGCGTATATTCATATCTAAGTCTAATTAAATTAAAATCTCCAGAAAATTAAAATCAAAGTTTGAATTTTGACAGCTGCATGGGTTTTGATATTGTACAACTATTGTAATTCGGATGAATATGCGATGATTGCCTTAGATCCTATATCATTGCATGCAAGCAGATAATTTTTGAAGGGCGCGTAAAGGGTTGGCGTCCTAAGGCGTCCTGATGTAAACTATTCAATTTTTGAGAAGTTTACACCATAATTGAATAGTTTATGGCGTCCTGAGAGGAGATTTCAATGGGGTATGGCGTCCTAAAAAATAGAAGAAAATGATTTTTTCTCGATTTTTCTAGAAATTGAATTTTTTAAAAAAGAAAAAAAACAAAACGTATACTTTCAAGAAAGACTATAAATGAAGATTTTAAAAAAAAAAAAAAAAAAAAAAAAAAAAAAAGGTAGTGGGGCTTCCAGGCACTTCGTGCCTTCTAGCCCCCGAAGATGTTTAGTATAAATGAAGTTCTTATATACGGGTCTTCCAGGAGCTTTTCACAAATTATATATGTTTTCATGTTTTGTCAAGACTTCTTCGTAAAATCAGACAAAAATATAATTTAGGGTAGAAGGTTAGATATAACCTGTTTTCTAACCTGTTTTCTACCCTCGTGAATTTTCAAGACTTCTTCGTACATGTTTTGTCACTTTTCTGTCACTTTTCAGGAAAAAACATTTTTATTATATATATAAAATGAATTTTACAAAACCACCGTTACCCTTCTTTGGAAATAAGAGTAGATGTAAAGATATTCTATTGAGAGAACTTAAGAAACTACCGAATGGTCTAACATTTGTAGACTTGTTCGGTGGAAGTTTCTATATATCTCATTTGTGCCATACAATATTTCCTGACTCAAAGATTATATGCAATGACTTCGACAACTATATGAACCGTCTCAAACATATACCAGACACAAACAAAATATTGAAAGAGTTAAAAGAAAAGATACCTATAGGTAAGATGGAACGTATACCATTAGATAAGAAAAATACTGTCAGAGAGGTTTTGAAAAAGGCAGAGTATATTGACTGGGATAGTATATCTGCTAGACTATTATATAGTGGTGCTATATAAGAGTTCATGACATTGAAACACTTATGTCAAAGTTTTATATCTTAACTATACAAATGTTTTCAAAGAGAACATAGAAAAATATATTGAGGGTATAGAGTTTGTGAGATGTCATTGGACAGAGTTGTATGAAAAATATAAAGACAAGGAAAATGTTTTCTTTATAGTGGACCCGCCGTTCTATAACACATGGGATTTTCAATACCAAGTAGACTGGACTTTGAGAGACTCTTTAGAAACTTTAGACGTTTTACATAACCATCCATGCTTTTACTTTACATCCGATAAAAGTGGTTTGGAAAGTGTCATGAGATGGTTAGAGGACATACATGACTATGAGTTTAGATATGACAAGATAGAATATGAGAGAGGTCCTATAAACTGGAGAAAGTGTCATAACAAAGAAATTTTACTAGTAAGTAAATGTGGTTTGAAATAGGACTACTTGTTTTAGGTTTTTTCCATTGTGTCATTTACTTATTTGACGTGGCAGAAAGATATAGAGAATATGAAGATGAACCAATACCAGCAAATGTTCAGCATATGTACTCGTAAGAGATATTTTTATCTAATATTAAATGGACGCACAGAACTTAGCGAATGCACAGCAACCTGGACAACCAAACCCAGAGAATATTCCAAATGAAGTTAGAATACAAACTGCAATGGCAAACTATGGTCAAGTGCCAACAGATGTACAAATGCAAACTGCCATGTCAAATGACGCTGCGTTAGGTTTGCCACCATGGTATGCAAATATGAGATGGAAAGAGTTTTATACAAACCCCGAAGTGGATATAAACAACTCTATGCAGATGACGCGAACACAGGAGTTGACCCAGAGTATGTTTTCTACCAGAGGAGAAATAGAATGTATGAGCTCCAGTTAAAGAATGCTATGGAACTCAACAGGAAACGTAAGAGACTAGGTGGACATTAGATTTTTACATATAGTAAAATGGGTTTCTTTGGAAGAATAGGAAACTTCTTTCGAAATGTTGGAAGAGGTATATGGAATGGAATAAAAACCGTCGGAAGAGGAATTTGGAACGGAGTCAAAAATATTGGTAAAAGAGTAGGTCAGTTCGTTGGTATTATACCTAAAGACCCTGAACCAGAAGAGCAAGCTCCTGTTATACAACAGCCTGAACCTGCACCACAGTCTAGTTGGCAACCAAATCCAACACCTCAACCGTATTAAAAAATCATATTTTTACCGTTCGATAGTAGTTGTATATGAGACTAAGTTCTAAGTAAAACGCATGGTATAATGGAACTATTCTCTTTCTTCCATCTGTTGTAAACCATACTTGAAAATCCGAAATACTTCCACTCGGTGGTTCATATAGCTTTGTAGGTTTTTCGTAAAAGTCATTTGCCAAGCATAAAAAAGAGTTTTGTGCACCAGAAAATGAAGCATGAACTATAATAGCATCTGAGTCGAAAACATTTTCATATGTTCCATTAGGGTTTTCGACTTCATAAAAGTTCGGGTGTACTGGATATTCTGCAGGCTGATTTAACATCCTCATAAATCTATACCATGCCAAGTTGTTATATTTTGTAGAAATATAAACGTCTTCTCCAAGGTCTTCTATTCTATTGATTTTAACAGTTGCATTTTTCCTGTCATATATAATATCGAGATGGTACTCTCCTTCGTCAATGTTGTACTGTTTTGCATATTCGAGATAGATATCGTTTATTTTTTCTTGAAAAGCTTGAAGAGTTGTTTCTAAGTTTACAAGCAAACTAACTTGTAAAAGTTTTCCCTGTTCAAATTTCTCATACGTACGTTTTTCTTTGTTATAGTATCGAACTTCAAAAGCGACCGTAAATGGGAAACCATGTATGGCTTCTGAAATGAACTTCATTCTACGAAAGCCAATAGCTTTTGTGACGGATGGGTCTCTTAACCATCTTAAGGGGTAGTCAAAACGATAGCCTTCATGCTTTACGGTCTCTGTCTCAAACTTTTGACCGACATTCGTAAAAAGTTCATCTAATGGTTTAGTTGTAGCAACTCTTGAATTTTCTTTTTCTATTGAAAGCATATTTTATCTAGAATAAAAATGTCGAAAGAAACAGCGTCTATGAAAGAAATACAACACAACCGACAACTCATTTTGCAAGCTCTAAATAAGAACACAACAAACTTTTCAAACTATTCTAAGATATCTGAGTCATTGAAAGAAGGAAACTTAAAACTGACATTAAACCCAATGACAGACGAGTTTCTGTTTCAAGACAGTAAGAACCATACTGTTTGTATAAATCCAACAAAAGGAACTTTAAACGAGAAACCTATAGATGAACTTCTTTTGAAAGCAGATGTTGGCAACAAAGCTGACAAAGAGTATGTCATTGAAAAAGTTCAAGAAGAACATGACAGAGCAGATGCAACATATGCAACAAAAGAGGATGTTGAAAAGAAAGCTGACAAAACATATGTTAACGATGAGTTAGCATGCGTGGCTAGTGCGTTAGTGAAGAAGGCAGATAAGGAATATGTGGATGAAAAAGACAATGAAATTAAAGAAAGGGTTGAATGGTATAATGAACGGACATCGAAGATTTTAAAAACGAAAGCTGATACAGGATGGGTTTCAGGGTGTTTAGACCTTAAAGCCGACAAAGAAACTGTAGATATGTTGGCACAAACGGTTTCAAGTCATACCAGAGGTTTAATGGAAGATGGACAACAGTTGAAAGAGCTTGAGAAAGGTGTTACAGAGTTAAGGAATACAAAAGCAGACTCGACATGGATAAAAGGATATGTAGATGCAACAAAAGAACGTATTTTCGCATGGACAGAAGGAACATACCCACAAAAATATCATAGACATAGCATCTCTGACGTAAATGAACTTGAAGAAAAGTTATATAAAAAAGCAGACAAAACAGAGCTTCAAACATTAAAGACAGAAATACTTCAAACACTATATCCTATAGGTTCTATTTACACGTCAATGAACTCTACCAAACCAGAAACAGTTCTGGGTTTTGGAACTTGGACTCAAATAGTCGACAGGTTTTTGTATTGTGCAAACTCTTCAAAGGAAACAGGTGGAAGTAAAACGATTTCAGGTGCAAATTTACCTGCGCACAGTCACTACGTAAATTTAAGTACATCTGAAGCAGGTTTGCATAGTCATAGATTTTGGGATTGGTCAGCAATGACAAAAGGTAAAGGATATGATGTTAAAGAGGACGTTAAGTTTGCTATAAATTGTTACTGGGATAACACTGATGTAGGAGGAATCCATTCACATCGCGTTTCAGGGTATACGCAAACAACAGGACAAAGTAAAGAATACATGCCACCTTACATGACAGTTTACGCATGGTATAGAATTGCTTAGTCGTCATTTTCAACTTCTTTAGCATATTCGTCAGCAGTTGTCTTATATTTGTTAGGAACTGTCTTTGAAAGTATACCACCTTGAACTTTGACAAGTTTGAAACGAGGTCTGACAATAGTAGTTTTATCTTCTGCTTGCAGTGTGTACATTTTGCCATGTTTGCCTAAAACTTCATAATATTCTCTTGTATACTTTCTTCTATTTTTACGAACACGAAGGTGAGTACCTGTCGGGTTCCCATTGTTGTCATAGTCAATAGTATTTTCATATGGGTCGCGTTTAGGTATTTCTATTTTTACTTTGTCACCTTTCTTAAGTTTGAAGCCTGGCATTCTTTCTTGTTTGTCTCTTTTGACTAAACTATTAAATATATAGTCTTTCTCTAAGTCAGGGTTGTTTTTCATTTCTTCGGGGGAGTGGTTTCCCAAACCTTTTTGTTTACGGTTATTGTAAATATTTAAAACTTGTCTCATCTTTGCCATGGAGAAGTGTCTATACTTGTCGTCATATGACATTTCATTTGCTTCACCACCTTGTGGTTGGTTTAAGTCTCTTAAGATTTTTATACAACTGTCAATGACACCAAGAGCAGAATGGTTTTGGTCGACAATGAAATATTGGTTTACATTTTTTGAACGCAGATAGTTTTTAATATCGTCTGATTTGAAAGAACTTTCACAGTCAGATGTCAGTTTTGTTGGATGGTATTTGTCAACGAATATTGTCAAAGCAGTTTTCACATCTAAAATATTTTTGGACCATAATGGTATGGCTTCACAGTATCTTGTGTTTTGACCGACAAATATTAGCCAGTATGGAGGTCCATCTTCTCTATACCTCGGAATGTTTTCCAAGATATCCATAAACCAAGCATTTGGTGTTGAACTAAAGATTTTTACCATGAGTGCTTTCTTTGTTGCTTTAGAAACATACGGGTCCTTGTTTGGATTCGTCATTTTTACCCCATAAGAAATGGGTTTATTTGGCGCATTAGCAGGAGTTGCATCCAGATTTTTGCCCGCAGTTGGAACACTAGCCAGAGGTGCATTTGGAATTGGAAGGAAGATTTTGAGTACATTAGGTATACTGAAAGAGAAAGCACAGCCTATTATACAAACTGTACAGAAAGGTTGGGATGTAGCACGAGATGCAGCAAATCTTATTCCAAATCCTGAAACAAGAGGAAAAGTTCAAGGATGGATGGATAATGTTTCCAGACAAGCAGGAAACTACTATAACAAAGCAAATGACTACTATAACCAAGCAGGACACTATATGGACCAAGGTGAAAGATTCTTTAACAGAGGATATAACCATGCACAACAGTGGGTAAACAATAACCAACCGCAACCACCTCAAACTTGGGGAATGTAAAGTTTTTTACTGAGATGAAATGAACAATACAGCATTGAGACAAATGGGTTCAAGATGGATTTGTCGGCTTCCAGCAGTTACACAACCACGTGTTTGTCAAGTTCTTCCTATACCTCAAGAAGTTTTAGACCGACTTAAAAAACAACAACAACCAGTTGAAAACAAACCAAACTAAAATTTTTTACTGAGATGAAATGACGGAAGAAGTTGAAACGGTAGATTTGACACCACAAACAAAAAGTTCAGAACCATTGTCAAAACCTGTCAAAGAACTTACCGATGAAGAGAAAAATTCAATAATAGAAAGTGCCAGGTCTGGAAATACAAACCCTAACTATAAAGTCACTTTTCATAGAAATGGAACGGCAAGTATCTCAAAAAAGAAACAGACTCTCACAAATAAAATATTGAAGTCTGAAGGAGCTTTCGAGACAACAGATGGAAAAGTTTACTTCACTGACCAACAGTTCATTATAGAACATCTCATTGACTTAGAGTCGAAATATTCTAAACTTTACAACAAACACAAAAAGTTGAAAGGAAAACAAAAACAAATGGCATATGATATTTATGAAGATGTTGACGACACAACCATACCTGCAAGTGAGGTAAAGTCAGAGGAACCGAAAAGTGACGAAAAACCGATAGAAGAAGGGAAGCCACAAACTGAAGAAAAACCAAAACCAAAGGTTAGTTTCCAAACTAAACCAAGTCAACCTTCATTAGCTGGTATGGGTTGGCGTCAAAGACTTATGGCAGCGGGAGGTTACGTAAAGTAAAGAAAAAACATTTTTTTATTTTTATAAAAATGCCCCCGTATAGAATGGATAGAAAATCTGCTAGAATAAAAGCAGAGTTAGAAAGATATGGTTGGAGAGTTTCAAAGAAGTTTAAATATAGGAAGGGAAGACCCATAAAAGTCTATGACAAATTGTCTGGTCTTCGCTATGAAATGGACTTAGAAACAGCACGCGCAAATTATCCAAACAGATTAGAGAGGTTAGAAGAAGAACGTCTTATGGACATGCCTTTCGATGTTAGTGAACCTCAAGTTGAAGGACACGACGGCTTTGCCAGATTCTACTGGAAACATGACGAACAATTGCATCCTTTGAGAAGGAAAAAAGGAAAAGGTGAAGACAAACATGCTCCCATGGAAAGAACAAGATATGCATATGAAAAGTACCGTGAAGTTAGAAGTCAAATTACATCTGGTCGAACCTTTACAGTAAACTTTGACGAAGGAAAGAACAAAGAAGGCTTCATGGGTGTACTTGCTGCCATACAAGATGGAAATAAGAAAGGATACAATCTCAGATTGACCATAACGGATTTGGATGGTCACATTTACTATGCAAATGGCAATGAACAAACAGCTGCAAAACTTCTTGACGCTTTCAAGACTACAAAGAGAGAACAAATGGTTGACTCCGACTCAGACATTTTGAATGCAATTGAAGGAATTGCAAGTGTCAAGTTCGAATGGTACCAACCTAACCCTCAAGCAGTCAGACAACATGCTGGATACTTCCCCTTCATAAATAAGTCTGACATTGACTTGACAAGGTATGGAATTTACAATTCAATTGAAACAATTGTCAATGAACCTTGTATTCTTACATGTCTCAGGAACTCTGGTCTTGTTACAGAAGAGAAGATGAAGTATCTTGAGTCATGTGTGAAGACAAGGTACATTCTCAGAGGTCAATTGGCAAAAATTGCACCGTTGGCAAATGTCAATATCCGAGTCAGCATACCTACAGCTAAAGGTTCTTCACATGACGACTATGTTGTTGAGTTCAATTTACCATGGTTGAAGATTGTAATTGTCCACAACCACTTCATGTTGAACGAAAGTCTTACAAACCCATTGTTCGGAAAAGGCAAGTGCAACATTGTCAGAGCTGTTAACATTCTTTTCGAGAAAGGTTTGTTGGAACCGATTCCAGATGACAAGCTGACAGAAAGTTTTGTACCAAAAGACGAAACAAACTTTTCACTGTTAGCAAGACCAAAAGTTGTTCCAGACAAAGTTCTAGTACAAAAGAAGTACACAATTCCAAAAGGAGTTGGATTGTTCGGATACCAACCTGAACCAGAAGAACTTCCAATGAGGTTGCAAGAACTTCAAGATGCTATAAACAAACTTCCATTGAGAAATCCAATTGACGTCAAATTGTATTGGAGAGCATCTGAGTTAGGTCAGAAGGTTTTATATGAAACAGGTTGCTTCGACGATGTTTATGAGATAACAGGAGAAGTTTCTCAGAAGATAAGAGACTCACTTGAATTTCCACAAACTGGACCAATTGGTTGCGACAAGTTCGACTCATATGAAAAGATATACTATGTCGACCTTAACGCTGCATACATGAGGTTTGTCCAATATATCCCGACTGGAATTCCAAACGAAGACGGTGAGTTCCCAGGAAGGAACTATACAGTTGGAAAAGTCATACAACAACTGTATGATATTAGGAAAGCTTCAAACCCCAAACTTGCAATGACACTCAAATTGCTTATGAATTCGACATGGGGATATTCCATAAAGAAACCTCAAGAGATGAAGAGTAAACATTATGAGAAGGTCGACAACTTTGTTGAAAGGTTTTCTCCTTTTGTTTTGAAGTACGAATTCACTCAAGGTCAAAGTGGCTTAGTAACCACATTAAAACCTATTGTCGAACATTGGTCTTACCCTCAGTTCGCAAAGGCAGTCCTTGACAACTACAACAAATTCTTCTCCGAAGTCAAATCCAAAGTGAAGGTTTACTATGAGAACATTGACGCACTCATGACGAACGAAGAAGGATACAACAAACTCATTGAAATGGGAATGGTCGGTGAAAAGATGGGCTGTTTTAAGCTAGATAAGGTATTTTCTGAAGTTCATGTCCTCTCCAAGCGTAAGTATTGGGGCATACTTGAAGACGGCACAGAAATAAAACATTGCATGAAATAGTAAAACATTGCATGAAGTAAAAACGTTTTTAAAACAGTATATTTTTACATATATTAAATGCTTCAGGTTGAAAAACAAAGAACAAAAGTAGCAGATACAAAACCGTTAGACTATATCTTTACAAACGCTGGTAGGACTATTTCAGATGAAGAAATTTCATCCGGTGCTTACAGGTTTGACCCTCAAAATGTTATGTGTCATGCAAGTTTCAGTTCAAGCAACAATAGTTTTCTTTGTATTGGTAAGGACTTTTATGACTTTGCTTCTAAATTCTATGAACCACCGAGTAACAGTTTCTCTGACTTTCAAGTTTGGTTCACAACAAATGGTGTGCAACATATTATACCATTGTACTATGACTTTTATCTCGAATTGTCTTTCATATATAACTACGGAGAAGTGCTGAAAAAGTATTGAATGTGAAGATATTAGAAAATAACATTTTTTCTAACATCGTAGAAAACTCATGAAAACAATTTATTTTTGTGAATATGTAAGCGGCTCATAGCTCAGTGGTATGGGCTACCTCGTTAAAGGCGTCGAAGACCTCGGTTCAAATCCCGATTCGCGCAGGTTTTTTCCTTTTATGCAGTGAAATTTCATGTACATAGGTTACTTTGGTGTTAGACCCTAGTGAAGAAAATAGAACGATATAAGTTTACATTTGTAAAGTTGGACGATAAAAATCTCTGCTACTAGCAGTACTGCTACTGTCAGTAAAAGTACTGCTACTGTCAGAAAAAGTACTGCTACTGTCAGTAAAAGTACTGCTACTGTCAGTAAAAGTACTGCTACTGTCAGTAGCAGTACTGCTAGGAGCAGTAAAAGTACTGCTACGAGCAGTAAAAAGGAAAATTTGAGAGGGTTTTCGACGATAAAGTACTGCTACTGTCAGAAAAAGTACTGCTACTGTCAGTAAAAGTACTGCTACTGTCAGTAGCAGTACTGCTAGGAGCAGAGATTTTTATCGTTGTGGTCCGACGGTTAAGCCACAAACGAATGTCCGACGGTTAAGCCAAAAATATTTTTTATTTTTATTGTAAGAACAGTATGACAGTCGAAGCAAAAACGTTCACGAACAAATCTAATGGCGAAACATTCACAAAAGGCACTTACAACGGTATTGAAGTCTTACGTAGAGACATGGATGGTTATATTAACGCAACAAATATGTGTCAGCAGTTTAGGAAAGACTTTAGAAGGTTGTTGGAAAATAAGTCCTGGGAAGAGTATTTTAAGGCATTTTGTGAAGAATATACCAACCCGCGGAAAACAGCGGGTTGCTTTTTATACAAAATTCATGCAGGAATTCCTGATGAAATCAAACAGGTTAGAGGAATGTATGTAGACCCAAGACTTGTAAACTATATAGCAATGTGGGCTTCTCCAAAATATTGTATAGCAGTTGGAAAAATTCTGGACTCCATAGACAAGAAAGTTCATGAGAAATTAGATGAAGAAGAACTTGAAGATACAGCAGAGAATGCAAAACCTTTGTTCGAAGAAGAAGTTAGAAAAATGCATGAAAAACAAATAGAACATGAACGTGAGATATGTTCTGGTTATAGAGACTCGCCATACGAACTAGACCAATGGGAACAAGAAGATTTAAAGAGAGAATTTAGAGAATATGAACTCGCTAAGATAGCATTAGAAGCTGCAGAAGAGAGGTTAAAAGCTTGGGGTTGTTTTGTACAAAAATATTGTGAGTAAATGAACCATTTTTTTTCGACAAAAATATATTTTAGGTTAGATGGTTAGATCTAACCTGTCTTCTACCCTCTTTTCTACCCTCTTGAATTTTCATGACTTCTTCGTAAATGTTTTGTCAAGACTTCTTCATCGGAATGAGCGTAAATGACCAAAAAATATATTTTATGTTAGAATGTTAGATCTAACATGTTTTCTAACACGTTTTCTAACATCGTAGAAAACTCTTGAAATTTCATGAATTTTGACACTTTCACAAAAAACATAAAAAATAAAGTTAGTTTTTTTAAAAAAATATTTTTTATTTTTATTGTAAGAACATGTTAGCAACAACTTCACCAAACTCTTTAGTCATGAACCCAACTTCAATGTTAGTAGAGATGAAAAGCTTCATTCCTTCTTCATATACTTTCGAAACAGAAATCCAGAAGATAAAGCAGGAACTTTTAACAAGTACTTTGGACTGTTGTGCGAAAGATGAAACAAATGAACAGTATCTTTATGAAATGCAGGATATTATTGACCATTTACCTAAACTTCCTGAAATCCAACAACAAAAGCTTACTATTCCAGAATTCGATGAAATAGAAGTCAAAGCAACTGACTCAGTAGAAATAAAGAAGTTCATACGAAAGGTTAACTATGAATTCCTTGGTTTTCATTGCAACCACAAAGTCATGGACAAAGATTGCGATATGGTATATAAGAACATCTCTGACATATACAAATCTGGGGAGTTTAAGACCTACGACAACTTTGTTTCGTTAGTTGCTGAATGTGTATGGCAGATAAGAGATAAAGATAGAAGAGGTAAGATATGGAATGAACAGATAAAACCCGCAACTTTTGAGTTAAAGAGAGCAATTGACGCTTTAGTCATACTAGCAGGTAAGGTTTCAGAATATAACGCAAAAATGAACCCACAATGTTCTAAATGTAAAGCAGCAATGAGGAAATATAACTACTCCGTCAAAGAGATAGAAAGAATGAGAAACGACTATGCAGACTTAAAGACAGAAATGTCAAACAATGAGTTTGAAACAGTTGGAAAGATAGACAATGACACCAAAGTGGTTAGAATAGGTGATTTAAACGTAAGATACTCAAAGAAATACAACAAATATTCTTTGTCAGACATTTTATCTCCATCTGGAAAGAAAGCAAAGGACTGGGTTAGAATTGCTTCTACTCAGAAAATTTTGACAAGAAATCCTGAGCTTATGATATCGGTAAGATTCTATGGAACTACAGCATATCTTATAGACAAAAGTCTTATACCAATAGTTTTGTTATGGATTGACCCAGTTGTTGGATATAATTTCATAACATATGGTTCGTTCGATACGGAACGTTGCAGTGAAGGCTTACTTTACATCGTTCAGAAACCGAAGGACTTCAATACAAAGAGATATAAGATAGGAAGGACATATAATATAACTCTAAGATATGACAGTACAGTCAATATAGTCAAGGTTGTGTTAGTTAATGATATGAGAGCTGCAGAAACAGAACTACTTGAAAAGTTTGAGAAAATGTATGGTGCTCCCATAAAAGGTAAAGAAACGTTTGAAGTAGATGAGATAGATAAAGCTATAAAATTGACGAAGTTGCTGAAAAATACATGTAAAAATAACGTTTACCATGTAAAACGCTTATAAAATAACTGGGGTAGAAAAGAGGGTAGAGAACAGGTTAGATCTAACCTTCTACCCTAAAATATATTTTTGCTGAATTCAGCACAAAAATCTGAGTAAAATGGCATAAGATTGCTTACCATGTAAAACCGAGAGAAGAGATTCCGTACGAAAACAGTGAAGCACAGCGAGTAGGTAAGAAAACGTAGTCGCCAAAACTCTATGAAAAACAGTGAAATTTCTCTAGACCGACTTCCTTCGGGGTCGCCAAAACTCTATGAAAACAGTGAATTTCCTTAAGATAGAAAAAATAACGCTAGTTTTTTATAAAATATTTTTTTTATTTTGTATGTAAAGACAGATATGTCAACAACAGAGAACACAACAACAGTTATAGTCCATGAAGCTATAAATGAAGAATATGAGTGGGTTCAGTTTAACAAACAGTTACGTCTCATTCGTTCGGTCAAAGACGATATGTACCAAATGCAAAGTATTTTGACAGCATGTGCTACACCAGATACTAAGAAACCACAAGACTGGTTTGAATTAAATAGCACTCATGAACTCCTCAGTGAGTTTGAACATGTAGAACTTAAAAAGATTACAAGACAGACAAAACTTACCATCACATCTAAAAGGTATATATGTTCATAAGTTCCTAGTTAGTTCAATAGCAATGTGGGCTTCACCTCGTTATGCAATCTACATACTTATGCTACTTGACGAACTTTGTACAAAGCAGAGAGAAGATATGATGAAAGAAGACAAAAGCATTCAGAAAAGAATACCACGTTCAGTACCAAAAGGAAAGGAAAAGAACTATAAGTATATGATTTATACTGAAGAGATGGAAAATGAAGAGATAAAGATATGTTATGTTGCATTTAGTCAGAAGAAACAACAAAAGCTTTTACGACCTTGCTAAGATTTACAAATCTGACAGAAATTGGTTCTATCGCGAAAACTTACCGATTTCAATGACACCGAATGAAGATGTGAAACAAATAGTTCAAGATACGTTACCTCAAACACACTATGATATGAAAGGTTGTACAATACTTACCTTCAAAGAAGATTTGCCATTGTTAAAGGAAAAAATAACAGAGTATTTTGACAACTTCAAACAAGTAGGGTAGATGAACCATTTATTTTTCAAGCTTGACTTCAGATGGCTCAGGTAGCTCTAGATGGTAAATTGTCTTGTCAAATCCTTCTGGCATTCCGAGTCCTTCCTTCCGACATTCCAAGTCCTTCCTTCCGACAAGAAAAAAATTTCCCGACAACTGGAAAAAAATTTCCCGACAACTGGAAAAAAATTTCCAGTTGTCCGTCCGTAAACCATTCAAATTTTCGAAAATTGAGAACTTTTTTCCATCCGACAGGAAAATTTTTTCCATCCGACAGGAAAATTTTTTCCATCCGACAGGAAAAGTTCTTCCTTCCAACAGGAAAAGTTCTTCCTTCCGACAGGACACAAACGAATGTCCGACGTTCCTCTTCCTGAATGTCTTCCAAAGCCAGAAGAACCGAAAGCTGCAGAACCACAACAGACTTACTAAGACTAAACATTATTTTTATTGACTTTTTACAATTTGAACTTTGTTCGCGTAGATGTGAATTCTGAAAGAAGTATGAGGGTCTTGTATGACTTTGTACTTCTCCCATAGTTCATGTCTGTCAAACTTACCTGCCATGGACTCTTTCATAAGTTCCATGAAATCGTCTTCGGACAATCCAGGGAAAAGTACAATGTCAGTAAGTATTCTCTTTACATCCTTACTTAAACTCTTTGCTGTCTGTACACAAATGACAACAGAGATGTTAAAGTGTCTGAGCTTCTTAAGAATTCGACACATGTCTTGTTCTCTGTTCTTTAACAAAGGATGAGAAGCAAAGTCATCTAAGATAAGAAGACATCTGTGAGGGTAAGTCTTCCAATCGTAAGATTGCAATTTCTTCGAAATGTATTCTATCTCTTTCTGTTTGTTTCTGAAGTGTTTCTTCTCTAATATTCTCTGCATTTCCTCATTTGGGTCTTTAAACTTCGAATTGACATACTCATTTATAGCA